CCCCAAAACCCCAAAACCCCAAAACCCCAATCATTCAAATTAGATTATTATCGGTAAGTAAAAATAATCTTCTTGTATAAATGATATTTCAACTATCTTTGACTTCGATTTTATTTTTTTCTCTGAAAAATTTCCTATCCTCACTTGTGGGGTTTCCCATTGTGTATCCTTCCTCTAATTCATTTAAATCAATAGAATCATCTCCTTATTTACCAGTATGGAAATCAGACATTTCGATAGTTACCCTATATTAAAATTCAAATATTGGTCATTTCTATTACCTATCTTAGTACATATTGAATGGAGCCTGTTCATAAGTTTCATCAACCGGTTTTAATAGAGTGCTAATCATAAGCATGTATAAATTTATAAATCCATTGTCAGTCATAAATCTCAATGCTAATTAGGAGTTTATTTGATATCATATTAATTACTTTTATTTTGGACTGGCATGAATAACATAGCAATGACCAAGAATAGTATGATTATACCTTAGACAACAGCAAATATAGCAAATTTGCTTGTATTAAATCTATGAATCCATTTAAAAATTTTAAGCTATCTTACGCTAATACTTTTTAAATTGCTTTATGAATGTAGTAAACTGCTGCTATAAAGTAAATAACAATAGCAATCAAATAGAATTTCTATGATAATTATGAGTTATGATTTAAATTTACTCTGATTATTTGAATTCCAATAGACTAGGGATGATAGTTATTAGTTATGAGGTGACTCTCAAGGTTAATCAAATGTTCTGTGAAAACATATCCAAACAGCATAACCCATACAAATACGATAACAAGAATCTTTGCTCTGTAGAACAAGTAAAAGCTCCATATTTTTCCCTGAGTGGTATGCAGACTATCTAATATTACCATATTTGCCATCAATATTGCACAAATGAAAGTAGTCTATTAAACATTTGAATATTTTAATCTGTTGACTTACGTTGAAGAATGCATCAAATTGCCCAAGCATCGCTTAGGTTGAAATGAAAAACTTGTAGGGGAAATTATATGGAATCATACCCTAAAATTTGTTAAGGCTATTGAATTACTAGTACTAAAGCTGCTATCCAACTCTAGATATGTCCTTTATCATCTTCTGATATCAAATTATACTAAGAAGATTGAATTTATATTGAATATTAATGACATACCACCTTGTAAAAGTTGATAATCATGATGATGTTTGCAGTAATGAATATTAGACCAACAATAGCCTAGAATTTTCTATGATAGGGATTTCTTCCGATATACTCAATTTCGATATTGTAAATATTCTTAAGCAAATCCTCTTCATTTTCATTACCTTAAAACTCTGCTTTAATAAGATTATAAGGGAATAAGTTCTAGACAAATATAATCTCAAGAGGTTCACACTATAATTGGTTTCTAAAGAGAATGATAATACATAAGCGAATTCCTTTCCATTATAGATATGAATTTATTCATCACAGTCTAATTTGACCTCTTTCCAAACCTGCCTTTTGAGAACAAAGTAATCATTTCTCATTTGCTAAAAATGAGCATCTACAGATATGACATGATCCTAGCAAGTCTCCAAAAGCTTAGGACTATATGACCCGACCACCTAAGCTGTGAAATTTAATCTCATATCATCCTGATGTGCTCTCTATTATGAAACATGAAATCAGAAATGAACCTACGAGATATTCGATCGGTATGAATAGATGAGCTTGGACTTTGAAATCATCATGAATTACTTAATCTCCTCCCGTTAAGTTTTAGCAGAATTAAAGCTCATTGTTCAAGTCCTTAGTGAACTAATTATTTTGAATATCACTTATTGAAATTTACAGAGCAATCATTATGAATACCGCATGACTATTCATCTACTTTGAAAGGAAGAGGACCAAAGTTACCACATAGCAAAAGGCACATATAAACTAATTTTAAATTATCAAATAGAGTATCTAACCAGATAAGCAGGAACCAATAAAGAGAAATATCTCTGTCTTAGACATTAGTTCTAGTTAGGTTTTTCGACTAATAATAAGATATCAGGTTAACTATTGAAATTTACCCGTAAAATTGCTAGCCTTCCATTTAAAACAATCAATCTTTATAAGTGCTAAATTTATTAATCTATTAATCTTAGCATCAATCTAATTACTCGGGGTTTTGGGGTTTTGGGG